TGATGCAATTGTTAATTGCATATGCACTGTTGCATATAAAAAAAAAATTTGAAGGCCTACAGATGTAGTGCTCTTCGAACCATTTATCTTTCTCCTTTGGCATTTTTTCGTAAATACAATAATAACAGAGTTATGACTTGAAACAATTGTGTGGACTACCCTGTATATGTATGTACGTATACGGGGTGTCCCAAAAATGTTGTAACAGCTTGAAAGAGGTGATTCGGGAGGTGATTTAAAACAACTTTTTCCTTAGCGAAAATGTTGCCCGAGGCTTCGTTGAGGAGATATTAACGGAAAACACTGACCAATCAGAGCGCGAGTATGCCGGTGGAGTGTCCGAGGTAGCGTATGAGCGAAGCCTACGCCTACTGCGGGCGCTCCACCGGCATTCTCGCGCTTTGATTAGTCAACGTTTTTTATTAATATCTCCTTAACGAAGCCTCGGACAACATTTTTGCTAAGAAAAAAGTTGTTTCAAATCACCTCTCGAAACACTTATTTCAAGGAGTTACGACATTTTTGGAACACCCTGTATATCGAGATCATGGTGTCGATTAATATCGGTTTTTATCAAAGTTACTGCCGATGAAATCTGTGTCGGTCATTTCCATGGGACCCCTTTTTTAATATTGCCACTTACAGGCAAGCCTATGTCTCCCACGTTCTATCGATAACATCTCTATGGTATCGCACCGTCAGCTTTTCTCTCGATATGTGTAAAACTGAAACCAAGGAGCTGAAACGAGACGAATACCAACCTTCATTGTGTCGTAAAAAAAAAAAATATGGCAATTCATTCAATAGAATGAATCAATCATAGTAGAAATCAAATTTGTGGAACAATGAGCTTTGGTACGAGTGGCGAAGAATTCTCTCTGAAATTCCCAAAACGCCAGAAACTCGCAAACATTATTAAGCGTCGTCCAAAACGTTCTTTGAAAAATCATAAAGTTTTCCAAAATTGAATTCGTTTGCTATTGAAATATTGAAATATTAATTAAATATCGCTTCCAAACAATGGGGTTTTCAGAGTAATTTCTTTGGGCATGTCTCGCTTTCAAATAAGGTGCACTGTGATGCGTATTAACAGATACGATAGTACGTGAGATCTTCCGAGACTCAGAGCTTGATCCCACGATCGATGCGAGCATTACGATCGAACAAAATTTCACGCCTTTTCTGTTGGCACACACGGTTCACGTTCTCCGGGGCATAAAAAGGCCATAGAGGATAATCACGAAGTGTGCATGTACGAGTAGATCCCACGACCCTGTCTTCTTTGACCCCCACTAATGCCAAACGATCGTGTTATTTGCAGTTTTTTGTAAGACTCGATCATATCCGCAAGTGCTTTACTCAGAAGGATGGGATCTTTGTATTGGAAGAATTCAGTGAGTAATAACCCCTATGTTTGTCTATACAACAGAGTTAGAGTGTTTTTCAGAGTGTTTTCGAAAGAGTCGGTTGCATGATGTAAACAAAGTACGGTACTACAGCGGATCATTTCCTAATATTATCCTTCTTACATTTCAGATCCTAAAACTAGACAAGTAATTCAACGTAAATATAAGTCTCAAATGGTGAGTACATCATCGAACGAGTCTGGTAGCCTAGAATGTTAATCGATGTTATTATACAAGGTGTCCCAGAATTGGTCTAAGAACCGAAAATGGGGGGTAGCTGAGATGATTCCGAATCACAATTTTCTTTGCGAAAATGTCGGATGGTGCCTGATTTCTTAATTATTAACGAAAAACCAGCAATCAATCACAGGGCCCGAGTAGCGCGCTCTCACCTGACTACGTCGCGATCCACAGTGGTCCCGATGGCCGAAAACCTGGCCAAAATGCAATTTTTCAAGTTTCGAACACACTTTTGTCAATATTGTGCGTGTGTTGTATACATATGAGTGCATTAAATGCCGTTTAAAATTAAAAAAAATAGTAATCGGTTATTGATATACAGAGGTTGAAAGTTGACGAAATTTCATGCTCCTTGATATCGTGAAAAGTGGCGCATGTTTATTGTGTCACATAAAGTTTATCCTCAATAGATTCATGTATAAATCATTTTACCATAAAAGTAGATGTTATAAACATAAACTTTCCACGAGAACAAAGTAAAATATCTTTGGATTCACTATTGTAATTTCCTTCTCAATATGGTATAAAGTTTAGTTATCTTTCGATGAATCGGAAGGAAAACAAAGATGATAGTCACCGAGTGACACGCTCTGCCAAGTTTCTTGATATAAAGTAACATGTCAAGTATGATATCCAATTGAGAAAACTTGCGCAAATTTGCGCCATTTTATGTTATTTAAATTTAAAGTCCATGCTTACAACGAAAGGACGACTGTTTACGCAGCATTAAAACAAACCTTATTATCCTTAATTTTAATTTAACATTAATTTATCATTGTTATTTCTGCCAATGTATTCTAACTATGTTGCCCTATAAACCTAGAAATCCTATTTTATACAAAATTCATAATAATTTAATATTTTTAATATGCATGTCGACCATATTGGATCTGCCATTTTGAATTTTGCAATTCTGATACTAGATTCGTAATTTGCGGCCCAAGTAACTCTTAAATACCAAGTTCCATGAAAATCTAATAACATTATAACATACACGTCGGCCATATTGGATCCGCCATTTTGAATTTTGCAATTCTGATACCAGATTCGTACCTTGCGGCCCAAATAACCATAAAATACCAAGTTTCATGAAAATGTAACAACTTTTTAATATACGTGTCGGCCATATTGAATCCGCCATTTTGAATTTTGCAATTCTGATACCAGATTCGTAATTTGCGGCCCAAATAACCATACCAAATACCAAGTTTCACAAAGATCCGAAAACTCTTTCTAATTTTGGCCAGATTTTTGGCCATCTGGACCACTGCGCGCCGCGACCTAGCGTCAGTGATGCCAACCGAGACCCATTTTTTCGCGCATGCGCGGCTAGAATGACCGTTAACAGTGTCGTATTCACGGTAACAAGAGGAGTGCTATGGCTATTGTTGTGGCTATGACCGCGAAATCATGAATACATTTGTTCTTATTATTCATATATTTTCTATACTTTTATATTATCTTTATATATTACCTTATCTTTATCCTTAAATCATGATTATATTAAGTTGTCCAGAAAGTTCGTGCCAATTTTTAAGAAAAATTCCAAGACACATTTCAATTTTGATATACATTTATTAAATTACATAGGTACAATTTTGTTCCACAGCCTTTCCACCTTTTTAGGGATGTATTCGTCTTATATATTTTCAAACTTTCCGATATATTCAGACCAGTAACACCTACCAAAAATCGGCATGGACTTTCCAGGCAAACCAATATTTGTAAAATTATGAGGGGTAATTAAGACACCCCTTTTTAGTCGCGCTGATACTTGATTGATACTATGTTCGCCGCGCATGCCCGAGAAAACGCGTCCCGGTTGGCACCACTGCCTAGCGTAGCCAGCCAATCCTGGCTCGAGCCTATGCTCTCGCGGCTGAGGGCGCGTTACTCGGACGCTGTGATTGGTCGGAGCTTTTTCGTTAATAATTCAAAAACCAAGTATCACACATTTTTGCAAAGAAAATTGTTGTTTAGAATCGTCTCAGCTACCCTCCATTTCTTGTTCTTATACTAATTCTGGGATACTCTGTATAGGCCCATTCCAGACCTATTTGAATACCTTTTCTTAATATTTTTATTAAACATTTTACTGAAGTTTGAATTTTTATTTCAATATTGTAGATTTAGTCGATTTGTCGATTAATTTTCATATGGCAATTTTTAATCTGACCTTTTGCGCTTCAAAAAGTGTTCAATTCAAGCTGCGATGGGTCTCATCCTGTGTGTCTTATTCTGTTCGAGTAACTTTCTTTTGTTATTTGTATTTGAAATTGCCCGTTGTAATCTAACTGTTATTTTGTAAATTGATTTGATTAAGTTATCATAATTATTAAACATGTAAGTGATAGTTTGATTTGTGTGCTGTGTAACAGGCCAATGAACTGTGCCACTGCATGCACAGGGTATTCTCCGTTGCCTTTACGTTATCTGAACTCTCATCTGAGGTTCAAGCCAACTCCGAAAACGACAATGCATGAAGGTTTAGTTATGATTTATTTGTTTTGCAACCTTTAACATAAGTTTTGTTTATCATGATTACCGCTTTTCTTTGCATCTGTGCGTTATATGTGGGAGAATCCAAGAGAGGATCGCAAAACCAGACTTAATATTAAATATGATTAGTTGTATCTACATATTAACACTTTATCTACCGGGCTATTTAGAAACAGTCTTTAATTCAAAAAAGAATCTTCTACAGTACCATATACCAATCTAGGCTGGCAATAATTCCTCCATACTGTTACTAGGTACATTGAAAGCCAAGTCTGTTTCCAAAAACTGAGTATTGTAAAAATAAATTCGCAAAGCTAAATACTGGAATTAAAAAGCCTATAAATAGGCTCCCGGTAAATAAAGTGTTAATTAGACATTTCTTGTCTACTTTCGCCACTTCTGTAGCTCTGCGATCCCTCTTTAGATCACCCTGTACAAGTAACCAATAATTTAGATGTACATTTTCTTATCCATTCACTATCTAGCTTTCAAATGCATCATCCTATTAAGTATCGTAATATTTATCGAATTTTCTCTACAAAATGGTGATAGTAACCCTATGTCCCAATTGACTGTCGCGCGGCGACAAAATCGCTCGTAGCTGAGACGCGGCAAGAGTGGGGGCAAGGTGTAGGTTCTATTCACGCTAACTTCTCAAGATGCTTTTCTCAATTACATTTAATACAGTCCATCAATCGGTTGAACAAGAATAGATCATCTTCTTTTTTTCTTTACTTGTCTCCTTCTTCTATCCTTTGAATTCACTCAATTCAATTCAGTAGATTTAACTTTTGAGTATATAGACATGGAGAAGGATTGTCAGCACCGAAATTGTGTCCATAACATTAATATCTCCTTAACGAAGCCTCATCCGACATTTTTGCAAAGGAAATTGTTGTTCAGAATCGTCTCAGCTACCCCCCATTTCCGGCTCCTCCACGACTTTTGGGACACCCTGTATATGCGCTCATTATCCACACTCAATGTAACGTTTATCGTAGAAAAATATGCGCATATTATCTATTACAACAATTCATAAAACTGAAGTGCAGGGTTTCTATAGATATGTGCACAGGGTGTCCCAAAAATGTTGTAACAGTTTGAAAGAGGTGGTTCGGGAGGTGATTTGAAACAACGTTTTCCTCGGCAAAAATGTTGTCCGAGGCTTCGTTGAGGAGATATTAAGGGAAAACCCCGACCAATCAGAGCGCGAGTATGTCAGTGGTGCGTAGGCTACGCACTAGGCGGCTGCGCTCATACGCTACCGCGGCCACTCCAACGGTATACGCACGCTCTGATTGGTCGGGGTTTTCGCTTAATATCTCTTCAACGAAGCCTCGGAGAACATTTTCGCTAAGGAAAACGTTGTTTCAAATCACCTACCGAACCACCTCTTTCAAGCTGTTACAACATTTTTAGGACACCCTGTATACAAAGAGTCCAGGTACGATGTTGACACATGCGCAGAGAGGATGAATATCAGTCTATACCTTTCTCTCTCGCACAGACTTTGGACACACTTTCGGTCTATACAGAAGGAAGCAATTCCTCCTCCATTTCTATATACTCAAAGGATACGACACAGTCCGCCAATCGATCAAGAAAGGAGAGAAGTAAAGAAAAGCAGAAGATGCGCTATCCTTGTTCAAACGATTGACGGAAGAGTGCGCAGGAAACCGAGCAAAATTTCGAGTTGACTTCAGCGACAGTTGCGGAATAAGTAGGAAGCTCCGGAACAAGGATCGATAGATCCTTGTCTCTCCAATGATGCTGTGACAGAGAGGGAGATACAACAATCGGAGGAGAAACAAAGACAAAATGATGTCAAACATTTGTAATATTCCAGTTATTTACATTTTATGAGGCGAGGAAGCGACCTTCCCGGCTGATTTTTGTTTAAACTGTTCCTTGTAAAATTCCGCTGTGGGCGATAGTTACAAATTTTGCAATTCGCTTTTGAAACGTACTAAAAATACGTTTAAAGAGAAGAAATTTGTTGTGGGCCTTTTTCCAAAAATCTGGCGGTATCGCCCACAGCGGAATTTTACAAGGAATGGTTTAAAAAAACAATCAGCCGGAAAGGTCGCTTCCTCGCTTCATAAAATGTAAATAACTGTTTGGAAAATTACAAATGTTTGACATCATTCTGTCTTTGTTTCTCATCCGATTGTTGTATCTTCCTCTCTTTGTCACAGCATCATTGGAAAGACAAAGATCTATCTATCCTTGTACCGGAACTTCATAGTTTATCCGCAACTGTCGCTAAAGTCAACTCGGAGTTTTGCTCGGTCTCCTCCGCACCAAATATTTATGTAACAATGTAAAAATTTAATATTTAGAATGCAAGATCGTTTGAGTACTTCTATATTTCCTTGCAATGTAAAATCTTATATATTTGCCCTTAAGACATAATAGAAAAGACTGTAGTATTTTTATTATTATGCATATACAAGAATATATTAAATAACCAAAATAGTGTTACAGAATGGTTCATATTAGTTTCAAGTTTTAGAAAAAACAGATTGAGGATCACTGATTATCAGTTACCCCGGGAGGTGATTTGAAACAA